AAGAGATCCGTTTATGAACAGATGGGGGTATTAATGAAGATATGACAGAAACATGTTTTTAAAAAAAAAGAAATTTAGAAATCTAGATCCAGAAAGACGAGGTGTAAATAATGTAACCGGTGAAGGAACTCTATTAATGCGGAGCTTAAGAAGATATGAATTACAGTGGAGATTAAGCAGATGTGAACTAAAGGCGGAGATTAAGAAATGTATACTGAAACTTTAGCCATATTTTACTGGGGTTGTTTACCGCATCTTCTAAAAGGAATGAGAGAATGAATACGAAGGTCAGAGAACTCATCTTTTAGTACGACATACACCGCCTTGTGAAATCACAGCTCCCATTGATTATAGATCGTGTGTGATGAATCAATGGAGAGTTTTAACATCACTATTCTGTGACGGACATCCTTTTGTGATCAGACGAAGAAGATAAAAGACCAATCGACAAAATCACAGAGCTCCGGAGAAGCAAAGAGGATAACACGTCTAACCCAGTAACCCTACATGAGAATGAGAACGACGCGTTTCGATTACACGACTTAGACCAATGGACTGGAATCCCCTATATATTATTTGGGGATAATTTAAAAAATTGTAACCTTAAGTTTGCATTATTTGGATAAGTTTTAAAATAACTCCAATCCTATGTGGCATATCTCTTTGCCTTCTAAATTATATTTAACACAATTCTAGAGCACCTTACATATACCATAGTTTAAACATATATTTACTAGAAAGATGTTGGTCACATATCTTATTAGTATTAAAAGTTATTATTCATTCTTTCCTTAAATAAAAGCTACGAAATTACCTAATGTGATTAAAAGATATATGAAAATTAATAATTTCAGTAATAAAAATTTGCTAACAATTTGTATACCCTCTACCATATTTGTTTAAATATTTGTTATTAAAATAATTTACACAATTACATTATTTATATAATAAAAATTTATATTTTTTATATATTGTATTTTGAATTTTTTAAAATGGGTATGAATTACTAAATTGTTAAATATCTCAAATAAACTTTTTGTGATCAATTGTTTAAATTTTTATTATAATAAGATACAAATAATTATAAAATGCATGAGTAAGACATCTTATTTAATATGTTTATATTAATACATATATATAATTTAAATTAAATTACATACCATATAAAATACATACTTATATTTTGATATTTTCATTGAAAAATATTGAGAATCTAATAATTTAAAATTTGCATTCAATTTTTAATAGTTCAAAATTTTGTTATAAAAATATATCGATAATCATATAAACTTATAATGATAAAATTAATTTACTAAAATCCATATTTAAAATATATTATAGATATTGTTAATGTCATTGAAATTTAATTATATCTAATATATGATGGATAAAATTGATTGTGTTGATTTATTTACCATAAAATAATTGTTAATAAATAAGAATAATCGTTTGATTTAAATGCACACACCAAATCCTCTATGTATTAATTGAGGATCATTTAAAAAAGTTATAACCTTAAGTCTGTACTAATTAAAAAACCCTATCTTATGTGGCAGTTCTCTATGAAATTCTACTTAAAAGAATTTTAGAGCACCTCATATAAAACATAGTTTTAAAACAAAGTCTGTTGGTTTCATATAAGACATATCAAGCTAAATAACATATCAAATTAAATCTCATATATATTCTTTCCTTAAATAAAACCTACGGAGTTACCTAATTTGATTAAGATTTATATAACTATTAATGATTTTGAATAATAAAGATTTGCTAACAAACTGTATATTTTATATCATTTTTATTTAATTTTTTTTATTATTAAAATAAAGTACACAACTACACTAATCATATAATAAAAATTCTAAATTTTTATTATATATGTTGTATTTTGAATTTTTCAAAACGAGTATAAATTATTAAAACTATTAAAAATCTCACATAAACTTTTGCGATCAAGGTCTAATTTTTTTTCTATAAAGTTACAATGATTATAAAATCATATGAATAAATAATTTTATTTTAATAGGTATTTATGTTAATATATATATATATATCACAATAAATAATTTTATTTAAACATAATTATAATTTAAAATTTACTTTAAATTTTTTATAAAATTATATTTATTTAAAAATTAATTTTTAAAAATATAATTTTTTTGATATTATTAGACAAATAAATAAATTATATTAAATTAGTTTGAAACTTTATATATTCTAAATGCGAATATTCTACCAACTGCTTCTTAAGAAAGCATTAGGGAACTTGATAATGCTCAACCAGTTAAGACATGTGACACTCCGTTTATTTTTCAACTTTTGAACACTGAAAAGTGAAAAAAAATATATGAACCGGACCCATTAAATTATAAGTTTTGATCTACAGTTCTAATTACAGTTGTTTCTGATCCTACGTATAAATAATTATAGAAAAATTCGAAAATTCCAAATACATATAAAAACAATCATATGTAAATTTTAAATTTGCGAATACTAAAAATATTATATTTTAATTACATACACTCACCCTTCAAAACGCATGTCTTATCCTAGTGGACAAATTAAAACCCAGTTTAATAGTGAAGTCCAAGATAGTAGAAAGCAAAGATCACGAAACGCAGCGGATACTCTTAATTAATGATGAATAATTAATCTTTTATATATATATAGATTTACATGAATAGGTGAACTGTATTTATTTACAAATAAAAGACTACCTATTTCGGTAAACCCATATCTAGACATTCCATTTAAAAAGATGGTATAAGACCAAGTATAAAGTGGCTCTATCATCATCAACACAGAAGCACTATCAACTAATTCTTTTTGATTTCTTATTTTTTTTTTTTTTTTTTTTGACATCAAACGGCTGATCTATTACTCAAGGAACTCGAGGTGGTCTGGGAATCCAGACCGGAATAGAACAACCAACGTACACAAGCTTACGATAAAAGGACCTAGATGTCTTAGCTAGAGAATCAGAAACTCCGTTCTGACCTCTAGGAACATAACAAATCCTGAAATCGGGGAAACAGATCATCAGTGTCTCTAGCCTTTCTAGCTCTGTTGAGAAGTTTGGCCAAGCACGAGGGTTCTTGAGCATCTCAATCATCTCCTTGCAATCAGTTCCAAAGCTCTGACATGGCGAATGTTGAAGCAAATTCTCCATTGCCCACCGCAGTGCTTCCAACTCTGAGTGCAGCGCCGACTCCACTCGATGAAAATTACGCATCCCCATTAAGCTACTAGTCCCTGAACTATCATTCAATACCCATCCACAACCACTGAAAGCACTTGTAGAAGTCCAAGAACCATCCACCAAGCAAATATTGGCCAAACTTAAGGTCTGGTCTTCCTCTGTTCCGTCTCCAATGGGAGCCGGAATTTCCTGCTCATTTGCTTTGAACCATGCCTGACATTCACTTTCAGCATAGCGCGCTACCTCTAGTGGATCCCTCTCAATACCTCTGAAGAGCTTATCATTCCTAGCCTTCCAAATGTACCAGATCAGCCAAGGATAAGGATCCCTGTCCGATTCTGATTCCATCAATGCATTCTTCCTCCAAAATAGATAATCCATATTCGCGTACAGGCTTTGTACTGGGAACAGCGCAGGATTGGTTGGCGTAGACGATAGGGCCCAAACTTGTAGTGCACGTGGACATTCAAAAATTGCATGCGTAATCGTTTCCTCTGGTTCTCCACATCGAGGACAATGGTTATCGCATCTCATATGTCTGTAGTTCAAGATACTCGTAACCGCCACATGTCCTGTTATTATCTGCCACATAAGATGGCAAATCTTCTGGGGGGCCTTTACCTTCCATGCATGTGCTTGAAGACTTGTAATGCTAGGCTCACGCACCTCGAGATCTTGCTCCGCCCTCAAGAGAGTTCGTGCTACCCAATACCCCGATTTAACTGTATACTGTCCATTCCTCGTATAACCCCAGCAGTACGTGTCACGTCGATGCGTAGAACTAATGGCCATGCTCCTAATGAGAGGTATATCAGGTTCGACAATATAATCCTGCAGTATATTCACATCCCAAGTCTTCGTTGTTGGATTGATCAAATCACTCACTCGCATATTTGGATGCAGAACCGGTGCCAATGGGATTGCTGGCCTCGCATGTATAGTAGGAATCCAAGGGTCTTCCCACACTTTGATGTCATATCCCGAATGGACCTTTTGTCTAATTGATTTCTTATTTACATAATAAAAAGGAAGCTAAGATGATGAGAAATGCTTTTTATTATTATTATTATTATTATGGTTCTTGTTTTTGCATTGTCTTTGACGTATCCTAATGCTCAACCAACAGATCCTCAGGGGTGTCTGGACACATTTAGGGGCACTACAAAAGAATACCGCGAACGTCTAAGCAGACTTTTTCATTTTCATTTCCGATTCGGTGGGCTCAAGAAAGCATGTTAGAGCACCTCCAATGGTGTTACCCACCATTGGAGTCCTTAGGATTAGATTAATATTTTTTTTTTTTTTTTTTTTTTAGAATAGTTAAGGATTTGTAATAACAAATGTTGCTCCAATGGTGTTATCTATTATGAAATCCTTAAGTATTAAAAAATTAATAAAATTATAAAAAAACCAATTTTCCAAAAAAAAAACAAGCACAAAAACATGTAAATTTAAATTTGAAACGTGACTGAGGCATCTTCATTCCTAAAGTATGAATATCATGATAGTAGTAATTTAGAGTTTGTCAAAAATATAACTAAAATTTAAATCAGAGCTTGTAGAAATGCACCCTAACTTACTCCGCAACGAGTTGACGTTTTCTTGTCGATTCATGGGGTGTTGTTTCATTCAGAAGTGGGTAGAAAGAATCTTGTGATCAAACATAACAAGAGGACATGTCTTTCCAGAAAAACCACCTGGTCGTGACCTCTTGCCTTGGCCTCAACAATCTCCTCCTTTCATAATTAACAAAGACTCGTCCATCACAAACGCAAAAATTCAAGACTCAGATCCGCCTTTTTCAATCACTCCATGAGTCGTTCAACATTGCCAACAAAGACACAAGATGGTTTGTGATAGCTGATGATGATACTCTCTTATTCTTGGACAACTTAGTCAAAGCTTTGGAGCTGTATGACCACAAGAAACACTATTAAATGTTAAGAGAAAACTGTAGAATAAGATCCACATATACAGTAGAGCGAAAACATCTGTGTAAGCTAATGATTAACAAATCTTATTTCCTATAGCTTCTAGCTATCAACTGAGAAAGTATTGATCATGTAAAGCATTACCACTTTATATCAATATACATAATACCTATTAATCCACTATGTCGTTGTGATCTTACCTTGATCTCACCTGGAAACGTTTATCATCACTTGATAATTGATATCAATTCTGCTATGAATCATCTTCCTCTTCTCTCTTTTTATGTATTCACCACATAATCAAGATTGTCTCTTTTTATGTATTCTCTCAATTTAAACCCTTTCTTCTCAAAACGAGAGATGATTTCTCCAACCTTAAAGATACATCAATAAAAAAACTTCAAGCCAATATAGCAAATAAACATTCAAAGCTCTATAAAGGTTCCAAAGTTAAATAACTTACAAGGCCTCGTTGAATGCCGTCTGGTTTGACCATAATGTAAGTCTCCTCAACTTGCTCCTGGAAAAAATTCAAAACAGAAGCTTAATTACATACAAAAGAATCAAATTTCATGGAGCTAAGATCAGCTTATAAGACAAGATCAGGAGAAAAAGAGTTTCCATCTCATAGCAAAAGAAGTCCACTTTTTTTTGTTTATCAGACAAGACCCAAGTTCAGTTTTCATGTGACACTAGATGTATCGTTAACTGGAAGATATAAAGACACTAACTTGAGATTTACAGCTAAATCAAAGGAGTGAAAGAAGATACCATTGCTAAAAGTAGATTCCTTGGGCTGTGATACTTCTCCCAATCTCGAGCCTTTGCAAAATCATCCATTTTCTTACTCAGATTTTCAAGAGAAACTACTTCCTTCCCTTCCCCCATGTCCATTTTACACAGAATAAATCCCTAAACACTCACTTAGAGATCTTTACAGAAAGAGGAGAAATCTAGGACGAAACGCGGATAGCTCAGAGCGTAAGTTAACGGTGGTTGGAGAGGAGTTTGAATTGCAAGTTGCTGACTTCACTCTCGGTGACGGCGAGGGGACACAGAGAGTCAATTGACCAACCATAGCCATTGCAACCATTGTGTTTGTGTGTGTTCTGTCTCACCGTTTCACTTCCTGAAACTTATCCAAAATTGAAACTTTTCCATTCAATTACACAGAATCAAGATCTAAAATGACAATCTTTATTACCAAATCTGAGACCAGATTTGTGACCATCACAATCGAAATCGTGTGGTGATGTTCTGTCTTCGAAATAGCTTCTACAATCGCCAGAGGTTTTTTCTTGTTTAACTTGTCGCGAATGAATTTTTTTTTTTTTAAAAAGGGTATACCTGCCGAAACATGTGCCACGTCAGTAAGGATTTGATCCTTATAATCCTTCTATAAGGATTAATCCTTACAAAACTCTTGGGCTTTAATAATATTCTATGCTCAGTTACATAGGTTCTCCCGCTAAGGACCCATTAAAAACCAGCGTTGGACATGATCTTATGGATACATTGCTAATGTTACAGATTGCCAGTCATCTTCCCGAGCATGCCTTACATTCCTTTTATAGTGAAGTCTATTTGCACAAAGGACAATACTAGACCACTAAAGGGACTGGGCAATAATAAGTAGGTTTAACTTTTTGGGGGAAACTAAACAAATTTGACTTACTAAAAAAATTAAAGTAAACATCTATTTTTACTATTCACCTAAGTTATTGTTCACAATTTACTTTTTCAATTAAACACATATGAATATTCAAAGGACAGTAAGGAGAATAAGCAGGAGGGACCAGAGGCTAACAACATTAACATAAATTTGGCTGATACTCTGCCCCAAAGCACAACTGATCAACCGAGTGCTGCGGAGGAAAAAAATGTAATTATGTCTATTTTTTCTAGAGTGCTTGTGATTTTAACCCAAAAAAAACTTTATAGTGAGGAAATAGGTTACATAAAGGGATTTTAGTTCAGAGTTTTATTGGTAACTAGAGTAAAGGAAGAATAAATTGAAAGAATTTTGTTGGCTTTATTCAAAAAAAAAAGAACAATTTTTGTTGGCTGTCGTTTGAAATTGGTCTATGGTATCAAATTATGAGTTATAATACCCTCAGAATTTGGTTGGTGTGGAAACCAGTGGTGTGAGTTACTCCATTCCTGAAAGTGGTCATCGGTTGATCACGATTTCAGCGATGCTAGAAGAAGGGGGGGGGGGAGATGAGTTCTTTACTCCATCATTTACGAGTGACTTTCTCCACATTTTCAATCGTCTAGTAGTCTAATTATTTAAAAAATTAAATATAAGTATATACTGAAACAACAATATATTTTTGAGAGAATCAACAACTTTATATAGTTCGTTGATGCTCTTAAAGACTAGTCAACATGAGCAATAAGTCCAATGTGACTATACTCTTTCTTTTACATGAAATGGTCGATGTACAAAAAAAACGACCCATTTGGATACATCATATCTAGACATTCAATTTTAACAGATTGTTTAAAAACAAGTATAAAATGGCTGCTATATCATCAATACAGCAACACGTAAGTGTTATAATCCAAATGCTTTTGATGTCTAATTTTATTGATAAAAAGGGTTCTAAGAGGATGAGGACTGCTTTTATGCTCATGGTTCTTATTTTCGTAATGACATGGCCATATTCGAGTACTCAACCGACAGACCCCCAAGCGTGCCTTTAGCTGGTAAAGGGTACCTCAAGTGAATGTCGTGATCGTTTAAAGGGAATTATTCATTTTCAATTCCATGGGATCAAGAAACATTGCTGTGAAACCCTTGCTAATGTTTCTGATTTATGTTGGCCAGTGATCTTCCCGAACCAACCTTATGTTCGGTTTATCTTGAAGGGTATTTGCATATGAAGTAATTAATCCTTACGTAAACGTGTTTTAGTATTTTATCTGTCTAAGATTCTTAACATCTAGAGTCTAAGAATATATAATTTGATAACTTATTAATAATCATATTCTGGCTCATTTTACCATTTAAGTAATTCTAAAATTTAAAATTTAATTCGTGTTATGTGTAGTTCAAATCTTTAAAATTTAAATAATTTGTTACAAATATCATCTTTCTATTTAATTAAGTATGCAGAAGTAATGTATTTTATTCATAAGTTTATGAGTGAAAGTAAAAATTTTATTTAGAAGCATCGGATTAAAAATATTAAATAAATTAACAAATAATAATAAGATAGTTATTAAAGAAATAATTTATTTATCAAAGATAAATGAAAAACTTAGAACTTGTCCTTATTATTTTAATAGAATCATGAATGAATTTTAAATGAAAAGTTTCATGCTAATCAAAATATGTAAAAGTTTATCCTATGAAATAGTTAAATCTCAATCATTTAGGACGTCTTAGGGACCGGCTCAAATTTATTTCGAATATGCAATTAAGGTTCGGATATTTGATTCTCACTTTTTGTGTAATTTAGATAGATAACACCCAGATGGTAAAATTCGTAAACTCAGTGCATCTGTTGAATGATGTAGGGAAAGAAAATTTCTCTTGACTGCCTCTTATGTTACAAAAGTCCACATGATCGTAAATAAAAGTTTGGCCGCTCGGAAATAGCACGATCAGAATATAAGTATTTGAAGTGGATTCTGAAACTGTGTAATAGCTCTAACCTTATAAGATTAATTTATTTACATAAACAGGTCAACTGTACTCATCTATCCTATTAAAACTCAAGGTTTTTTTTAAAAATACCCTTATGTTTCAATAGTATTTACAGATCCCTATCACTGGAATATTTTAAAATTATAGTTTTTATTACATTCATTATTTTCAATAAACAATAAAATCCTACGGAATATTCTTATTCTCGCAACAATATTGTTCTTATCTATCATTAACAACTCGAATAAATCCTCCCTAAACCTAACAAAACAATTATTTGTTGTAACTTAATAGATTTCTATTCGAATATATTATAGCATATTCTTAAGTTTAACTGATTTATATTATTATATTTAAATTTATTTACAGTCTAATCAATACCAATGTTCAAGAACTCGCTAGGCGTTACGCGTGCGGTTAGGTAGGGCCTAGCGCCGAATTAATTAATCGGGGATTAATCGATGATTAATCGGCGAGTAGTTTTAGGTTTATATATTAGTAATGTGCAGTTTAACCGTTGTCTTGGCGTAGGCTAGTGGTTAGTGGCTTGTTTGTACATCAGTTGGACCCGGGTTCGAGGAGAGCAGCGTCCGTTTTAATTATTTTTGTACACAATTAGGTTAAATGAATTGGAAAAGACAAAATTACCCTTGTCTTCTTCAACCTTCCCTGCAACTTTCAGCCGTTTTTTGATTTTTCTTTTTGCGATTTCGCTCATAAATACTTGTTATACTTGTAAGTTTTGATCAAAATATATCAAATCTAACAAACACATAGGATCTTAAACTTAAAATCTTCAAAATTAAGTGAAAATTTTTTTTGCCGATTTTTTTGCCGATTAACCCCGAATCGTCGCGGCTCTAGTCCGAATCACGCTTTTCCGGCGATAAACCGGCCGCCTAATCCGCGTTTTTGAACAGAGATCAATACTATATAAATCTCGATCAACACAGCAAAATACAACCATTCGAACGTAAGTTATTTCTACCAAAAATTCATCATGGATGCGCTAATAAAAATGGATGACTTAAGTGATGTTAAACCATTCAAATCTGCATAGAGAGTCCAAGTGAAAGTTTTGAAAACGTGGAAGACATTTGATAATCAGCTTGGTTTGTCTCTTAATATGGTATAAGCATATCAAAATGTAAGACAATATTCATAACTTATGCAAAAAAATTTCAGGTGACTTTTGAGTTTCAAAATATTTACAACCTCATGCCACTGAAAAAATTTTAAGCTATGATTTCAATCAAATGCTTTAATATTTTATAAGTAATTGGAGTTTTTTTTAGGAACTCCCTAGTATATTTATTGTTATATTACGATAACTACGAAATGTAAGAAAAAATGGATTCACTCCAATTATGAGTAATGAGTACGATATCTTTCAAATTTTATATAATTTGAAAACATCAGTAATATAGGAACCTCTCTAACTAGATGATCGGGGTCTTACCGTCTAGCCGTTGGTACTCCGCATCTTCACGGAGAATTCAATTTCACTGGGTCCATGTCGGAGACAGCGGGGCAGTCGTTACACCATTCGTGCAGGTCGCTACTTATGCGACAAGGAATTTCGCTACCTTAGGACAGTTAGAGTTACTGCCACCGTTTACCGGGGCTTCCGTTCAAAGCTTATAACACTTCAAAGCTTATAACACTTCAAGTTCTAGTCACAGTAAGGGGGTGGGTCTAGGAGAAGAGAGAAGAACGAGGGTGAAACGCACTTTAGTGACTAGAGAAAGAAGTTCTCTAGGAGAAGCAGTCATTGAAAAAATAAGAAAAGAAGGATAGAACTTGCTCCGCTAAGCGACTAGCTGCCTTTCTTTCCTCCTAAGTCCGTAGCTTTTATTTCTAAACTAGAAGATTTTGTTCCTAAGAATATACTGTCCATTTTTAAAACAAAATCGTGAATAAGTACTATAAATATGAACAAGCTATCAAAATCATAGCTCACTACCACTCTGAGCAAAATAATTTATTCATTGAGTCATGTATCATATTAAGCAAATCAAATCTAGATATTTAATCATGTCTTCTATTTTGATTTTCTGCAGGATATCACAATTCATGTTCAATGTGTAGGAAAGAAAAGAAGAATGTGGAGTTCACAAAGACATATAGTAAGTGCCGTGTCAAATTTAACAGTGTTTGTTTAAAAATATAAATGAACATGTTGGAGATCTAATTATACAGTTTTCAGTTTTGTAGTGATCAATTTTAATATATTGTC